GACAATTTAGTCAATTACGCTACACTCTTACAGATAAAAATGACACTGAAAACATGGAAATCAGAGCATTAGATAGCAAGAAGTATGTTGCTTTATATAAACCTCTAGAGGGTTTTCTATCCCATTTACAGATAACATTTGATATGGCAAAACTATTAGAAAACAATTTAAAGTCAAATCAAAATGATATTGCTGCTAATTCCAATATAGTCACAGCTGTATGTAACCAATTTAATGTTTGCAATGAGAATTTGCATTCTTTTGTCCAAAACTATGAAATAATTGTTAAGCGATCACTTAGACCAGCCCTGAAAGAAAACAATTCTCCAAGTGAAAGTAACGAAGAATTAAATGATATGAAAGCTGAGACAAAGATAAATAAAAATCAAGACGATTCTATAGAAAACTTGGAAGATGAGGAGTATAATTTGTATGTAGGTTATTCAGACGATGAAGAGGACGATTTTAGAACATCAGTTGATTATGTGGATCAAATGCCTATTGAGTATTTGGAGTTAATGTTAACAGAACTGAAAAGGAAACTTGATGAACGGAAAAAATTAAAAGAGAAACGTTTAAATCCTCTACAAGATGGTAAAGATGTGGGACCTAATGTTGGTTGTAATCTGCAAAATTTCGATGTAAATTCATATTCAGAAATATCTTCCATTGAAAGCCAATCAAACTGTAAAATGGATAAAAATGAAGTTGCTGTTTCTGATGTACTTTTGCCACTGGCAACTCCTCCACCACCTCCATTGCCCCAAAAAGTTAATAATTTTTTTTTAATCAATAAATATTCAAATCATAAATCAGGAAAAAAAATGATAATTAGTTTATCTTTAAAGCTGATACGTAGTCTTTTAATAAAATATTTGTTTAGAATTGTGTATGTACGTGATGTAACCTAAACTAAATATTTGTTAACGACTTGACAAAATACCTGCAAATCTGCATGTAGTATGTAGTAAAACGCCAGCTTGGAATTAATATATTTCTAGTATGCTACACCAAAAATTAGCCAAAAACATTATCAGCGAATTGTACCAGTATGAAGACATCTTTAATCATCACGTTGAGACGATTCTGAAATCTCGACTTTTACTGGATGAAGATGCGACTTTACTATTAAGTTATTGGGATGATAGAAGCACTTTAAGAGAAGCTAAATGTACTAATAAGTGGGACGTTATTGCAGGATGTCTGGCAGTAGCGGGTATTATAAGTTCAATTAAATTGCGGATGTATTTTCTCTCGTTGTTAAGTGTTCCCTTTATAAGTAATATGTGGCTTAAAGGATATAGATGCTTAAATCATTATAAAATCAAAAGAGATTTCGAAGCTTTAGTGAAATGCTTAAGTAGCATGCATCAACTGAACAAAACAGCAGTTGATTACTTTTATCAACGTGATGTAGTGTTAGTAAATTACCAGTTCTCAAGTTCTGGAAATTTTATGAATTATTTTTACTGTATTCTGTTGAAGACTTTGGAAGAAATTAAAAAGAATATTTTACTAATAAATAAAACAATACCAGTTGCAGAGCCATATAATATGTATGTGGTAAATTGGGATTTGGAACAATTCAAATTGAATGATTTTAATGATTACAAGAAGACATTACTGCAATTGGAAAAAATGAGTGATTTTTATGTGTTAATGGTCTCAAATTTTCTTAGCTGCATTGGTTTAAGTCTGTGTGTAAACTTATGGCAATGTCCTACATGCAATTTTAGAATTATATTTAAAAAAGTTGTGCCTTCTACATTAAAAAATTTAGAAAACTCAGTTAATGAACTGGTTCGACAATTTAGTCAATTACGCTACACTCTTACAGATAAAAATGACACTGAAAACATGGAAATCAGAGCATTAGATAGCAAGAAGTATGTTGCTTTATATAAACCTCTAGAGGGTTTTCTATCCCATTTACAGATAACATTTGATATGGCAAAACTATTAGAAAACAATTTAAAGTCAAATCAAAATGATATTGCTGCTAATTCCAATATAGTCACAGCTGTATGTAACCAATTTAATGTTTGCAATGAGAATTTGCATTCTTTTGTCCAAAACTATGAAATAATTGTTAAGCGATCACTTAGACCAGCCCTGAAAGAAAACAATTCTCCAAGTGAAAGTAACGAAGAATTAAATGATATGAAAGCTGAGACAAAGATAAATAAAAATCAAGACGATTCTATAGAAAACTTGGAAGATGAGGAGTATAATTTGTATGTAGGTTATTCAGACGATGAAGAGGACGATTTTAGAACATCAGTTGATTATGTGGATCAAATGCCTATTGAGTATTTGGAGTTAATGTTAACAGAACTGAAAAGGAAACTTGATGAACGGAAAAAATTAAAAGAGAAACGTTTAAATCCTCTACAAGATGGTAAAGATGTGGGACCTAATGTTGGTTGTAATCTGCAAAATTTCGATGTAAATTCATATTCAGAAATATCTTCCATTGAAAGCCAATCAAACTGTAAAATGGATAAAAATGAAGTTGCTGTTTCTGATGTACTTTTGCCACTGGCAACTCCTCCACCACCTCCATTGCCCCAAAAAGTTAATAATTTAAAAGATAATGCACAAATAGTTACAACAGCTAATGATACTCAACAACCAGGATTCTTGAATGATATTAAACTTCTTGCTCAACAATTGAATAGAAAAGAAGACACCTTCGGATTTGGAAGTGATTTGTCAGATTCTGATAATGATAACTAAAACNTGGGTTCTTGAATTGTAGTAGCCATTTTAGGGAGGCGTGATCCGTTCTTAAGAGGAACTTTGGTCCATTCAGGAATCTGTGAAAATGTGGGGGGGGGGTTTAACGACACTCAGTAAGTAGCTCTCGAAGTGTGACACAATAATTTCGTTCTGATTCCGAGAGTGTTTTACTAAAGTAACTAATGACTATTTCCTATCCACCTTATACTCGGGATGACACACCACCAAGTCTCACATTACTAGCGTTGGCATCAACGATGAAGGGTTAACTGAACTGTGGGTACGTCAAGATTGGGGCTTCAGATGTTCAAATGTTTTTTGGCGTTCAGGTCTGTCTTGGTATGGGCCAATTTCGTATGGCATCCGTTTTATCGGGGTCGGTTATAATTCCTTCTGATGTTATAACATGGCCTAAGTATCTCACATCTCTTCTAAACATGATGCATTTCTTGGAACTTGGCTTTAATCTTGCGGCTGAGAATTTCTTGAAAACTTCATTCTCCATGGATTGGTGAAGTCTTTCCGGTAGCTGTAGTCAAAATCAGTCTTCTGGCGAAAGGCGAATTTGCCATTCCGATACCATATAAGGGCGAAAGATAGATGCCCCTGCATCGATAACCAATTTAACATTGTGCTGATTTATAGAGCCTTCAATAAATAATGAGTTAGCACCGTCCAGTCTTGAAATGATGACTTCTTCGGGGGCTTCGTGAGGGTGAGTCATCTTGCGCCTCATAAAGTTGGCTGATCTTAATTAACCGATTGTCGTGGTTTAGTTGAGGGGCACACTCGACTTATGTGACCTATTTTTCCGTAAATCACATCAAATCAAACACTTTTGTTTCCATCCTAGCAGTGGCTATCTTGATATTGATTGCACATTCCCTAGTGAGCGACATGACACCTTCTATTGTAATTGCTTGATCGTCGGTTTCTATTTGTCGCGCTCGTACATGACCCTTGGAGGCTTGTTTCGCCGCTTCAAATTCTAGGGCGTGTGACACTGTTTCATCTGGAGTCTTGTAGGGTGCTAATATCAGGACTTGTTGTAGTGCGGCGTCCCTGACTCCATTGATAAATGTTTGTACCGCCAGTTGGTCTATGAATTCTTGAGAGGTAGGCTAGTCTCAAACAATAAAAAAAAGAAAGAGGGCGTACATAGGATTTGCAGAGGAAAGCGCAGGGTCGAGTCGCCTTTAATAAAAATAAGTCACTTCTATGCTCTCCAACGGTTAATTTAGAAATTCGAAAAAGGTTGTTAAAGGTGTATATTTGGAGCACGGTGCTGTATGGCTGCGAAACATGGACAGAAGCGTTTGAAATGTGCTGTAATAGGCGAATTATGAAGATACCGTGGATAGAAAAGGTTAGAAATGAAGGGGTATTAGAAAAAGTAGGAGAGCAGAGGACTCTATAGAGGTCAATAAGAAATAGACGAGATAGGTTAGTAGGACACCTTCTCAGGTATGAAGGTGTAGTCAGAGAGTGAAAGTCAGGGTCAGAGACATATTACAGGCAGAAACGGGAGTTAGGAGGGGCAGAGGTAGACCTAGATTAGATGACTGTTCGCAAATAAGTAGTTAAGGAGGTGGGTTGTTCTAGTTTTAGGAAAATGCGAAGATAGGAAAGAGTGGAGGAGGGGGTCCAATTAGTCTTAGGAGGATGAGGCCAATCTCACGAGACGCTCCACATCGGACGCAATTTGTTGCAGAGTCTCGTTACTTCTTTGGTTGCGTATGTAGATGTTTATTGCAGTATCTCATTTCTAGGCGGTTGACAAGAAGGTGGAAGTCATATTGTTGGGACTCGGGCATTCCTTGGAGTATATCCAGCGCCTCTCCTCGTAAAGAAATTATTAGTACTGTTGCTTTCTCTGAATCAGTCCATAAATTTGCCTCTGCCGCTGTTCCAAACTGCTTCAGATAAACACATCACGAGATTTTTCCATCAAAAGTTGGAAATTTAATTTTTGATGGTTTTGTACCGGAATCTTTAGTTTTTGTAGTAGAGGATAGACTTAGCCTTTCAATTTCTTCTCTCACTTCTTTTCTTATTGCTTCTATGTTCTTGTCCATTATGATTTTCCTTTCTTCTATCTCCTTTTCCATCGTGATTTCCCTTTCTTCTATTTTCTTTTCCATTTCATTTCTAATATCACTTATCTTGTCCTCCATTCTTATATTCATTGCTTCCTGTACTGCTTTCATTTCCTTTTTCATTTCTTCTTGTCCCATTTTCATTTCTTCTTACCCCAACCTCATTTCTTCTTGGCCTTGTTCTATTTTTTGTGTCATTTCTGCCATCATTGCCATTAATGGCTTTGTTTGTTCCTCCAGTTTGCTTTGGTACTTCTGGTTGTAACTTACCTGAAATATTTCGATGTCTTATATAAACTTCAATAACGTCGTATTTGTTCTCTTTTCTTTAAGAGGTTTCCAACGATATGTGACTTGTTAGGATTTTCTTGCAGTCACCGATGAAATTCATCAACGATGTCCGATTCTATCTTCTCACTTCGAGAGCTTTCTAACTTTGTATCACTTTTTAGGATATCTCTTAGCCAATGGTAACTTCCAGAAAATTGGCCGATGAACGCTCTCTTTAATCCTCTTCAGTCTCCTTCTACCCTACACCTGACACCAAATGTCGCGCATTTAAACATATTTTCGAACGATTACTACTTTTATTTAACTATTTTTAGTCTAATTAACATTTCTATTATTGTCACTGCTCGCTCCTTCTTCTTCCCTTTATACCGCTCTGAACTCTCTGACTCGTACTCCTCACTCGATCTCGTGATAACTGTTTATAGAAACTGCACGTTTTCTATAAATTTCCAGTATATACCGCCTAGAATCCTGTCCTTCTTTGCTACTATGTATGTTGGGTTGTCTAAATATATGTGACAATATTTTAAAACCCTGACGTACTGAGACAAGCCTGATCGCGAGCTCTGAGGTCGTACAAATTCGGCTTCACAAATTACGTGAAAAATAACCACCTTCACCTATGTATGGATACTAGACTACCTACAGGGATATCACACTTCACACTTGCCTATGGTCGTTATACTTTTGCTTTTGCTTTCGCAATGAGGGTGGTTCTAACGAATGACGTGTCTATCTTCGTGATGGAAACTATTAATAAATATGTCATCGTACAGGTAGAAATCCATATTTCCGGAACCGCTCACGTAGTATCATCACATAAGCACCAGACCGGCCTCCTACGCGGACACTTATTGATACGAAAATTAAAATAAGAGTGCGACGGATTAACAAGAAGTTTTCCATCACAATTGTAGTTGGTTAGACGAGGTAGGCTAACTTTTGGACCACTTGGTTTAAAATACTGACCTCTTGGATTTAACTACTGTCATGTATATTTAAATATTTAAAAAAGGGGCCAGTTCCTTCACATTTAAATATTGACATTTTTTAAATTTAAATAGATAATACTCATAAAAATCGATTAAAATACTGAATCGGATTCCCCGGATCCAATGCTTTTATCGGATTAAGTTAAGAATGTAAATTTCTTGAATAAAGTGTAGGGAAGTGATCCTACAGGAGCTTCCGGATTATTCTGAAGTACGAAACCATAAGAGAAGTGCACCACAGTTAAAATTGTGAAATATTAAATGTTTAAATACTTTTACTAATATTTTATTTCTAAAATTTTTGTTATCTGCAACTCCGTAGGCAATATGAATCAACGATGCTCATTTNCAATTGCATGTACTAGGCAAATCCACTTCATTTTACATGAATGTAAGAAATTAGAAATTATAAATGAAACAAATTACAGTAGCCATAATAGTTATTACACTTGTTCGTAAACTATTTCCAGATGATGTACCATATTTTATTTCGTCCAACCATCTCGCTATTGTTGTCCGAATTGTGAGTTTTGTTTGTCTGATTTGTTCTGAATCACTATTTGATGCGGACCTGAGATCGGCACAGTGAGAAGAACCTAAATTTTAAAAAAATATTGAACAACAAGGAATACAATTTATTCGATTAGAATTACCCATTTCATATGTTAGTTTCTTATATACTGAAGTGTTCGATTTAATGAAGGCGTTATTAATTAAGATGGTGAAAACAAAAAAAGATGTTACGTCATCAGTTACGTTTATTAATGAGTCAAATAAGAGGTTTATTTAATAGTAACAGAAGACAAGGAAAATGAATACAAAATGGAAAGAAAAACAGCAATAATGGCTGGAAAGTTGGTCAAGCAGGTGACACATGACACATTCAAAAGAATCGCCGTTTTGATGTCTTTGTTACTTCTTCTTGAAGGAATCGTTTCACTTTTCTAATTTGTTCAAAGATATATATAGATTATAGGTAAGGAAAAAGTGATTAAAAAATCTACACAACCCAGGATCCATAGAAGAAACAATGATAAAATTACATTAAACCCCAAAAGCCAAAAACTAAACAATCTAGAAAATATTAAGATGTCAGCCGCAATCGCCGACGAAACGTTTGAATCTAACAGTTCATTTGGACCACGGCCCTTCAGCCCTAATCATACTTCTACTATGGATTCCGGTCAAGAAAACCTACATACCTACTTATCAAAAATACAAATACCAAATTGCCTGACCTTTTCCTGTTATTAATAAAACGTTAAATCTTTGATAGATGTGGGGCACTATAACCATTCTCCAGAAAGGGGGAAATACCAGTCTCTGTCTCTCTTTATTTACCTCATTCTTCCGCTCTTGCAATTCTGTGATACAGACCAATCAAAATTTTAGAAAAAAGGCAACTTCTGGCTGTACGACCCCTTTTGTCTCTCTTACACGTTTCACCCTATACTTAATTTATAGCTAGATAGAGAATGCGCTCTCTATTCTTTATGTTTATGGGCTAGCTATTGTATTTTTAGAGATGAAATCATAAAGCTATAAATGTTTAAAAATTTCAGTAAAGTAATAAACATATTTCAAAATAATTGTAACATAACCCATTAAAGAAAGCATG